ACTGCAGCATTTGTAGCAAGCCCTTGACAAGGGCAAAARCAATTTCCCATCTTCCTTCTCACAYACCAGCACACATCTGAGCCAGCCTTCTCCTCAGGTGCTGCTGCTCTGCCCTCTGAGATGTGGTGGTCAGAGGGCGAGATATGACACGACTGACAGCATCTGAATCACGAAGGTGACCTTCAGCACTGCCACCAGTACCATCAGTGACACTTTCTCTTACTGCAGAAATGGACTGCTGTCTTTCACTTGACAAGGAAATTAGCTGATTATAGGTGAGCTTGGATCATAGTGCTCTGTGCTGTTGCTGTGCCCTCCTGCCATGTTCAAGGAAGAGGGATCGATTTGTAACTGAAAGAGATCAAATCCTGCAAGCAGCTGTTTCAATCTTGAAGACAATGGTGTGTTTTTGCCAGACATGCTCAATATAGGTTTCAAAGCAAGCTGTTGATTCTTAAAAGGCAAAACCTTTCAACTATCACAAAAAATAAAGAGCATTTTGGGTTTAAACATGTACAGTCAGAAAAAAGTCACGCCACTCAGAAGAACATTGCAGACGTAGCATTTAATCCTGCTCCTCTTAATTTGTAATATGTTGAAGGTTTAGCTAAATCTCACATTAAATACTCTAGAAGCCATTCTGTTCATACTGTTACATAGAGTAAAATGCATCCTGCAGCTACAGAGTGCCATGACAGCTTAGAGCTGCTAAAGCTTAGTTTGCCATCTATAGTATGTACCTTGCTTTTCTGGGATCGCCTGCTTTTACTTGATTCAAGATGGGGTACTTTGGCAAGCCGGAGCACATTCTGTCCATAATGGACAGGCAATGCCTACATTTTTCTTTCATCCACTTTTATAAATAAGAAAAATTTCAAAGTGAAATTTCATTAGTGAACTGCAGGTCCTTTATCTTAGATGAAAGCACCCACAAACTGAACAATGCCACCCCTACAACATGCAACTTCTGATTTTAATTACAAGGTACTTTAGGTGTGGAATCTTTCTACTACAGAAATAATCATCTTTGGGCTTTTCTTTGCTTCTCTGCAGCAAGCAAGGTGTCAGTTATCAGTGACATATATCTTAGCTAAACTGAATATCAAAACAGAGAGATATCAAAAACCCCTTGTGATTATCTTTTTTTTTACCTATGCGACAGTAATGTATATTAAAATGCACACCAATAGAGTTAAAGACCAKAGAAATTAAAACTTTTGTTTTGCAATGTATGCCACACAGGTAATTCAATAGTTTGGACAATATGTAAAGGTAGAACATGCCATTWTAAAATACTATGTTCATTGACCAGGCTCTTTTTAGCCTCTTTTCTACACTCCTTTGGATGTAATCAAGGCAAARTGCATTGTCTGACATGAACTGAGAYAATACTGATGGGAGGAAAACACAGTAAGGGAACTATATTGATGAACTGCTTGGATGTGATTATTGACCTTTTTCTTTTAAATCACCAGAAAGTCACGTTCCAGAAAAGATGACTTGTTGAATTCCTGTGCTTTATCATCACCAAGAAAGGATCACCATAGCAACAGGAAAAGACTAYGCACTGTAAGAATACTCAGGAGCTGAACAAGACCATGGTTTAAGATAATGGCGTGGCATGGCAAAATACCAGCCAGGGGTGGGGAGGGAGGGAAGTGGGATTTCTATAATAACAAAAGGATTAAAAAAGATCTAATATTGTAAATGTGAAATAGATGTGTAYTCAAGGCTAATGGAAAGCGCAAGACAGTGAATCGACAAGCTGTACAGCTCGTTTGTGTGGGGAGAAAMTCAACAGAGCTTCTGATTGATAAACCCCTGATTTTAAAGGTCAACTGCTGAGATGCGTGACTGATGCGTGTCATTATGATTTTCCCTTTAGCCTTTCTGTTAGGGCATGCAAAATGTTTTGCAGCAAGCAGGAGATGTTCATGCAGTAACTACACAGGAGAGTTTAAAGAAAACATTTCATATAGGTCACCCATCAGGCAGAACCTGCTTAACTTATAGTAATTATCTGCAAAGTCTGATCCAGCACTGCAGTCGAGAGGTGAAAGGATCATTACATTTGTTGTCTGATGTATCTGTTCTATTTAGACACTTTGATCCCCTCCTACAACATTTTTCAATCCACAAAGTGTATTTCCCAATATTTGAGAAACAAAGCTAAAAACCTACGCCTAACCCAAAATATGAATCAGGATGAGTTCAGAGTATGTCGCTGAATGAGACTGAAACCATGTGATACTTCCCACAATTTTTTTTGCTGATTTTTAAAATTTTCACTGTGAAAAACCCATCCTCAGCTCTCATGTTTTGTTAAGAACTATTTAAAATTAAATAGGTAACGTAACACTAAAATGACAGATAAAAATGAGGAACCCTGCACATAGTAACTACTGCTGTCAAGGCCATGTTATTTACAACCATTTCTTTGTGACAAAGTGTGAGTGGCTTTTGCTTTAGCATCACTGCAAGTGTTTCTGTGAATTTCAAAACTGCTTTTTGTCTTTGTCCCTTCAGCTAGTTTAGTGAAGGCGCAAATTCCCACTGAGAGAACTGAGGCTGTTCCAGTTCTGGAGCTAATTACTTATACCTCTGATTCCTCCATTTTCTCTCTCAACATGATCTGCGTTAGAAAGTTTTAAGTAGGGTTTGGGAAACATAAAAAAATCCTCAATGAAAATTGCCAATTTACTAATGCAAAGTGACACACTAAACCCAAGCATTTTAATTTAGCAGTCATTAAGATCATTTTGATGACTAACAGAATATGACTTTGATGACTCAAGGTTACATAGTCTACAGTATATACTTTTCCTGTGACTGTGTCAGCACACCACTGATACTTCCACAAAGAATGAGTTGTTCTTACTGATAAATGAGTTGCTGAGATACCTCTTCTTTGTGCCACGGAAAAGCCACCCACAGTAGAAGCCAGATATTGCTCACCAACTAACACCTGAATATCCTTGTACTCCTGAACCAGTGAAACACTACTCCTTCGCTGTGAAATTTCTTTCTACCATGACTCACTTGGCATTGCTGCTTTCTTTGGTGTACAGCAGTCCCTCACTAGAAGTCTTTCAAGCAGTATGATTTTTTTTCCTCTACTGCTGTGGATCACTGGACAGGACAGGAGGAGTTGTTCCTAACTTCTAATCTTACTAAAACTAATCATTACCAAAAATGAAGGTGGGCCACTTGCCCTCTGTTTGCCCATGACTTGAAACAGTTAAGTCTGGCTATGGCAATGAGATTTATTTTTTACTGGCAGAAGTTAACAGACAGCTTGAGCCAACCCATTGGCATGCTGTATGTTCCCTGACATCCTTCATGCTGTCTCTCTAACTGAGTACTACAATTARTGCAGAAGAAAAAGTGTCAATTGTAATCTGTCAGGTCAACTAAATTTACAAAATGAGATTAAGCCAACACAAGGTCAAGTATAACAGCATGGGCAAGGATAAACAGGATCTCTTTCTTTGAACTGCAGGAGCTATTACGAGTAATGCAAATATCCTAAGTAAATCCCACCATAGTCTTTTACCAGCTTGCAGTCAAATGCAGTGGAAGGAAAAGTAACCAACAAAAATGAACAAACAAAACCCATCAGATGCACAAGATCCACAGCAGTGGTATATCCTTAAGAAGTTTATGGCACACTTTTTAAAGACAGGCCCAGTGAGGAATCATTCAGAAAATGTGTTTTTATGGAAAGAGGAGCACAGACCATAACCTTCAGGTACAAACAGAAAAAGTCTAATAATTTCAGAGAAGAAAAGGACTACTAATTTATGATGAAAATATTCAGGTGGAAAATTGCATGTTGTAAGTGGGGAAGAGACAGAATAGCATGGCATGGCAGCAAAGAGGGAATGATAGGTTTTAAAGAATGATACTGCTTGTATTAAAGTTTGGGATCCTCAGCTCTACAATGAGCTCTGGCTCTCCTTAGAAATGCCTGCCCTATTTCTCAGCTGAAGAAGAGATCAAAGGAAATTCGGCAAAGAATTCCCTGTCACTGCAAGAAAAAACCCTAAACAACAACAACAAAACAAACTAACACAAAAAACCAAACCTCAAAGGTAGGATMCTGACATGTACTTCTGAGAAAGACATCTATACTTGCTCCCTCTCATATAAAAACTGGCATGTGGATGCATCCCCAAACACAAAGACTAATCATTATAGATTAGTTTTTTCCTCTAGCATTTTAATTTTATCCCACTTCAAACACAACAAATTTGCCAGGACAGGTTCTAATTTACACTCTACAAGTGAAACCAGAATGCAGACAAAATGCAAGGCAGGAGTCAATGTACACCTGACCCTATAAATGTAAAGGTAGCCTGACACTCAAGAAGCAAAAGACTCTAAACTTATTTTCAGGGTGTGTCAGTCACAAAGCAGGAAGAGATTGCTGGGATCAGCAAATTGTTTTGGTTTTCCAGCATTTTCAGCACAAAATGCATGCCATCATGACTAATGGGATTTTCCATTAAAGATGGCCTACAGAAAGCAGACATTTCAGAAAACAAATCAGCACTTTACATAAAAGCATTTATGCCTAAAATTAGATTTACTTTTTTTTTTGTATGAATCTGACTGCAATATACCCGCTTACAAGGAATACAGCATAAGAAATATTACTGTACCTTATTTATATGTACTTGAAATCTTTTGCTGCCTACAGAGAAAGTGCTATCACAGCAGCTAGGTCAAAATTCAACACTTAAATAGCCGAAGACTTACAGAAAAGAAAAMCAAAGAAGAATATTTAAAAAAAAAAGCAAAACCACCCAAACCTGTAAGTGCATTTAAAAGCGGTGATAAATCTCTGTCATTCCAGTTTTGCATTTCCTACAGTGATTATAGCCCTACAGTCACCTATCAAGCACCTCACTCTCATTTTTGCTCTTCTTTACAGAGGAAGGCAGATGGATTTCCCCTCTGAGCTTCTCTGCTGAGTTAAAGTGACATGAGCCCCATCTTACCTGAGTCTAAGTGCCAAGGGTCGGTGGCGGCCGACATTGGTGGGATGGTGAGTGGAGATGCTCCGCAGTTGGATTCCACCAGCTCCCCTTGGATGTGGACGTGAGAGGAGGCGTTGGTAGGTCTCAGAGCTGCTTTGAGTGGAGCAATCTGGTTGAACTGTACTCTCGACAGGCAGCCGGTGAATCCTGGGGTGTTGTATTTGTATATATCTTGGTCAATCTTCCCAATTTCTATGGGAAATTGAAGAGGGAAAAATATTAATTAAAACAATTCATTGCTTTAGAAAGAACGGTTGGTTTGAACACCTGATTCCCAAAGCTCAGCTCCCAAGTCCCTCTCTGAGGGAGACTGAGATTGTGTCAGACCCTGACAGGTTTCTTTACATTTCATTACAGATTAAAGGTGGAAACCTTCAGGCCTTAACATGACTCGATTTCACTGCTATCCTATCATTAAAATGAAAGGCTGGCATGAAGGAGTCATCAAAGCATAAAAGGCCAGGAAAAACATATTTTCCCTGAGAAGAGTGGTGGAAGAGAAGGTGTCAGGACAGCCTTGGCCAGGTCTCTCCTCCCAGCTGAAGCTTCTGCTGCAAGAGATGCCCCTTCCTCAGCCCTGCCCTGTTGCCCTCAAGACCCCTCCTGGTCACTCCTGTCCCTCTCTTGTCTCCTCATCAGGAGACTGAGTGTCCCTTCACCAGGAGACCAAGTGTGAAGGCATCTCTTGGGTCCCTTCTCCTGGGACCCAAGTATCCCTTTACCAGCAGGCCAAATGTCCCTGTGGCCTGAGGTAGAAAACCATCCATCCTCAGCCTCCTCCCTTATTCCCCTGAGAGGTGGCAGGATCTCATCCAGCCCTGTTGCAGGCTGAGGGACTGAGACCCCGGTGCCAGTCCCTTTGCTGCTGTGGGCTGACAGACAAGCTGGCAACTGGTATCCATGAGCTGAGCACAGGGCTTTGCCATCACTCTCTAACACAGCTGTTGTCTCTCAAAGCTTCTCAAAGCTTAGGTAGCTTCCTCCCTTCTAAAATACCAGCTAAGATGACCCCAAAATCATGCAAAATGCTCTTACTACCCAGGAAACCGGCATCTGCTCCCAGCTGTTTTAATTCTGTCAGGACCTGTTGGAACAGCCTGACTCACAACCAAATCAAAACTGTCCCTTTCTGTCAGCTGTCTGCATTCGAGGGGTATTAACATTTCAAAGCCTCACTGCAATGTCTAATAGCATGTTTACATGACAGTGGGGACTTTGGCTTCCTTTCTTTTGTGGTAGGAAGAGTGAATGAAAAGGACATGTGGAAGCATCATGTTTGTGCTGTATCAGGGACTGTCACTCCAGAGGCACGGTGACATTTCCAATCACCATTCCCTGGGTCGTTGGGTTAATGCCTGGCCCTTGAAGTCAGTGAAAAAAGTCACACTGATCTGAGCAAAGAAGTAGGGGGACAGAGGGGACAGAAAAATGTGAGGAGAACCATGTTATTCAAAGCATCATATTATTCAAAGGCAACCTTTTCAGATAGGAGCAATATTAAGCATTTAAAGGTATTTTTTTAATGGAAAAAAAATGCCCGTAAATTACCTTGTTGTGTCATAAAAGAAAAAGGACAGAAAATGGAGGTGGGAAAGAAAAGCTTCTGAGACGTGTGAAGAGGAAGTGGAAAAGGGTTTTATTTTAAGAGTTTGGGGATAAACTGGGAACCAAAGCACATCTGGGTTTGAATTTTGCTACCAATAAAACCTCAAACTAAAATTATTAGAAAATGCATGTCTAATCTTTTGGAAATGTCTGTGTTCAGTTCTAACCAAATCAGGAACAATTTTTTGAGGTCTGAGCTGTTTAGTGTCACTAAAAACTAGCATGATACATATCTCAATGTTTTCCTGAGTACAAAGGATTTTGCATCAGGAATACATACAAGGAATTTCAGGCTACAAACCAGACAAACCATTTTGCTTTTGGGGTTTACACTTTAAACATATACTGGGAGAAAACTGGTGGAAACTGGTCAAAGCTTGAACGTGACTAAAACAACCTCTGGTTTTCACATAGAGCTAAGCTATACCACTTCTGTCTTTGCAATCATCTTGGAATGATAAACAAACAACATCTAAGGCCCCCACACACCTAGCAGAAGGGCACACAGCAAAGATGGAGAATCTGAAAATTATTTGCATTAGATCCTTATATGATCCTCCATACAAGAATGGATTTTCTAGTCCCTACATTTTCCCCTTTCTTTCTTGTTTGAGAATGTCCCTTCTTTGCTAGTGCTTACCCAGCCTGTATTATYGCTACAGCCACATTTCACAAACTGTCTGTGAGCAGTGACTGCCACCCCTAACAAAGTGGACATATCCTCAGGACTCAGCTAAGGATGAGCTTGAATGCTTAAAATAATTGTATTAGTCATATAGGTCTTTCATCCAGCTCTCCTTCAAAAAAGTAGCTTCACCATACCATTAGCAACATCTCCTTCAAAAATTTGATAGTAAGTAAAAACCCTTGCACATGCATGTACATTTTCCATAGTTAGTGGAAAAGCTGTACAATTCATGCATTTGAATGCTACCTGTAGACCATGTCACTCAGACAATGYTCCTTTCTGACCACAATACTCACTTTCTCTTCAATATAATATTCATGGTATTTTTGAATAATCCTTATCATCTAAGAGACAATTACAAGACTCTCAAAAAACTGTARCCACTGTTGCAAACATTTAGTGTTTTCACTCACATTTTATTTATTCTGTGGAATTTCATGCAGAAGCTAATAGCCTCCCACTCATAATCCTGACTGACAAGAACAAAGATTCATGAATATGTGTGTGGTAATTTAGCAGCTCACCACCATGTCTCTTTAACTTCATAAATAAGTGACGGATACTAGATAGTGAAAAAATTAAGAAAACCCAAAAAAACCCCCCTCCAATCTAACAAGGCATCTTGCTGAAGACCCGCATTTTTTGTTGAAAACATTCCACAAGTGATGGATGTGCAAATCACCCCATGCAAATTTACTGCCAGCTCGCATCTCATCAGTGCTACAACAATATAGATCARCTTCCAGGACTGTGAATGTGCTCCTGCCCCTGAGTGTCCCTTGGGGCTCAGCACACCGATACCCTCTGATGTTAGGCCATTACACTTTGTTTTCCTGTGCATTTGAGCCTAATAGACCAATTCCTGAGGAGTGCAGTGATTGCAAAATKAAATACGTCTTTGTTCTCATGAGTAAAATTCAATTTGCTCCTTATAACAAAGAGGGGAGAAAACCAAAAGATGATTACAACCACATRATTTAAAAAAAGGAAATGTACAGTGCTACTACTTTGCATTGTTAMAATTTTCAGCACACAAGCTAGTGCAAAGTCATATAAACATTACAGCGTACAGTATTATCACTACCTAATAGCAATATTTATATTATTGCTTTCAGATCTGATGCAGCAATCTCCTGCTGGCAACTTACCCTCAGGTATTTCTGTAATGAAAGACTTCAAAAAGGTCACTTACAGGCCTTTTTTTTACTTCAGCTGGTTTTAACCACTTTTTGCCTTGATCACACAACCTGCTGACTCGAGATGAAGACCACAATAACACATGAACATTCAGGTGAACCCATTTTAGCATAAATGCATTGCAGTGTACAAATCCTTAACACAAGCACTGACACAATAACTATGCACCTGCCTACCCACATCACTTAAACATTTTAAAAATCTATATAACTAGCACACAGTATGYCAAGAATCTCACAGATATTGCCCCATGTCTTGTGTTATCATTCACTGAAGATATATTTAACATCAATTACTTGTTATTTGTGTTTCGCTATTTCTTTAACAGTAAAAACACACAGGAATTTAATCCTTAGTTACACATTTTGGTTTCAGGAGTTATTTCTCATGTTTGTGGCAGAAACATGCCACATAGTGATGAAAATAATACTATTTCTCTCTTGAAAATTATGTGACACTACTAAAGAAGCTCTTTACCCACTAGATGAAAAGATGTAAAGAACATCTATTTTCAAGCATATTTCACAGAATCACAGAATATTTTGAGCTGGAAGAGACCCACAAAGATCATCGAGTTCAGTTCTTGTGTGAATGGCTCATATGGGGATCAAGCCCACAACTTTGGCATTATTAGCACCCAGCTCTAACCATCTAAACTAATCTCATCCTGTGACACAAGGCACCATTAATGAGTACCCGACAAGCTGAAATTGATTATTYTATGAATCTAGAAGAAAACAAGCAAAAATCAACTATATTGAGGAAAAAATTGTAACTCTAACTGTGTATAAGTAACAAATGTACAGGCAGAACACAGTAATACTCATCAGTGTAATTAGGTTATCTGGTTTTTAAGCATTTTTGCCCTTACTGCATTACCTGCAGTTGCAGAGCTGTGGCTCCTGCCTAGGTACTATTACAAGAGAAAGCAATCAACACTTTGATTCATATTATTACGCAAATTGACCTAGTCAGCATGCATCTGATGAGCTACTTGGAGAAGTAGATACATAGCCAAATACACTTTTTATCTACTTTTTCTCTCTTTCTTCTACTTACCTATCAGGAAAAGATTTACAGGGCAGCTCAAAGCGCCATAGAGCTTGTAATAGCACAAAAATGGCAGTGCATTGCTGGAGAGGTCTGGCTTCTACCATCTATTTTTTGCCATCTACTTCTACCATCTATTTTTTACCATCTGCTTCTACCATCTATTTTTTACACAACCTTGTAGCATCACTTAGAAAGACAAGAAAAAAAATGACAGCCTGATGTAGCAGAAAACAAAAAGATGATGTGTTTAGTCCCACAGCTCTGAGCAGGTTTTGGATAGATGAAGAACTGTTTATGTAACTTTCTGTAAATGTAAAGTTCCCTGTGTGAGGATCCTAGAATGTTTCACATGTACACAAGGCTGTGYAGCAGAAAGCTGTGCAATCCAGCACAGTACTGTGCCATAGCAGTATTGCCGTGCCACATGTGGAAAGATGGCCTTGGACTGTTTCACAGGGACCTTGGAAAGTGGGAGAGGAGASAGAACCAGCCACAAAGGAAGTAAACCTACAAAACATGTTTTTATTAAATGTATGTGCTGAGTTTGCTCAATACCTTCTTGCCATGTAGCTGATCTGTGCATTTTTTTCCTCATAGGCTCTCAAATGTATATCAATACAGAAAGTTATAATAAATTCTGAACCTCGAA